AAAAAAATGAACTTCAATGATTTTAGCATATAGCTGCAATATAACAAAGAGCGAAAAATTTAAGGGGGTCTGAATGCTTTCCGTACCCACTGTAAGTAAAGGAAATGAGTACTTTGTCCACAATTGCCGTTTTTACAGATGAAATAAAATGGTTGCTTCCAAGACTCATGTCTACTGAAATGAATCAAACTGTCAGAAGTAGAAGTAGTTACCCATGGTAGTTCAGCCTGGGTAGCCCAGCTTAACTGACTGTCAAACCATTTTGATTTTAGGCTAATTCAGCATTTATGTATAGGAATTGTTGTAGTGGAAATGTAACAAGCCCAGGTTACTTACCAAAAACATTCTCTTGAATCAATTTGAAATAGTGCATTTTGTTGCTAACACTGTGTCCACCTAAAAGGTCTGGTAGGCAAAGCAGCAGCCGCAGTACCAGCATTCAAGGACTATAGCCAGTGTAGGTCACTCATGTTTTGGAAGTGCTCAAAGTGCAATACACAACCAGGCAAATAAACTGGGAAATTCTTGAAATTTAATGTGATGTCTTTGTTACTGTTTTGTGCATGTTCACTATAGTCACAATATAGGCCTAATTATTTATAATTTTGAGTGTTTTTGATTAACTTGGAAAAAATAAAACGAGGATGCCAATAGACCCGTGGTTTTTCAAAGTGTGGGGAATAAAGACATGATAGGTGGGGCGCAATGAATGGACAAAATTAGGAATGGGTCATTAATACAAGTATATTAAAATAACATCAGTTCAGGGCCCGGGAGAAAAAATTGGAACCATAGTGCAACAATGGTTTAACGTCGGCATGTTAACTACCGCGCAAGAATATAAAGAAATGTTCACACAGAGGGCCAATAGTGTATGTACTAGGCATAATAACGTAAATGTACAAATTTGTTACATGGACCACAAAAAAAAAGCAGGCGATTCAGCGCAAGCAGACAAAGAAACAGGCAGTAAGCCTTAACCAAAAAGCCAGCTGAAAAAAAAGCCCATCTTGCGCTTGGATTCACGATGGGAATGGTGGCGGCAGAGGAGGGACCCATGTGTGTCTTGTGTCTTAAACCATGGGGTAGGACTGGATAAGTCTGACTTCTTCCTACTCCATTCAAACATGTGCTGGGTATAAGCAAACTGATTCTGGATTAGCATTGGTTGGCTTTGTGTAATTATGTGTGTGTGTTGATGTCATTTGTTCTGCATGTTTGAAAGAATAAATCAAAATCAAAATCAAAATCAAATCAACCACTGGCAGCAGACAGCACGAGACCCAACCAATTAAGAAGACATTTACAGATGACACACCCCAGTAACGTTAATAAGCCACTCGACTGGCAGAATACCGTCAGCAGAAAAATCGCATGGTAAAATCTGCATCAGTGAACCGCAAATCACAAATGGCTTTCTTCAAAGTTGCATACAGAATTGCACAGTGCAAAAAATGTCACACAATTGCTGAGCAGCTCCGTGCTGCTGTACACATGGTGTCGATTATGCTGGATGAGACAAGTACTGCAACATTGAAAACTATCCCCCTGTCAAACAATACAGTTGCACTTATATTTTATCTGTTTTGAACTTGGTGTTATTTGATATTTCAATACATAAAAATTGGCCGATTTCATTATTTTTTTGACAAGTGGGGCTTGAAAATTCGCCCACCCTCTTAAGTAGGGAATGACAAAATGTTTGAGAACCCCTGCAATAGACATTTGCTGGGATCATGATATGGTCCTCCAGCTAGAAATCAAGAATAAAACCACACCTGCATTTGCAAACCACGACAATAGGCGTTGGTCCACAGGTGAGGGCTCAAAGACGGGTAACAAAGCTCACCGATACCAGGCTATAACAACTCAGTCATTAGGGGACATTGTTGGGCATCAAAGGACTGAAACACCACCAATGGGGATAAATATCTCCGACTCAACGCCAGTCGGGCAGAACTGATGAAGCCTCTTGGATGAGAGGTGGAACGTCTTTGACCTAAAAAACTTAAGTCAGTTGAATTTTTTTTTTTGATTTCTCAGCTCTTGAATTGCAGTTTGTCGGTGAAAAACATTTTTCTGAGTCTGTAAAATAGCCATCAACCTCTGAGCAGTAGCTGTTGTCCACTCCTTATTAAATACTTGGCACTCACTGTCCACTTTTCTTTTCTTCCGCTCATTTTTACAGAAGGGATCAAAGGGCAAAGTGAAAAAGTGAAGTAGAGAAGTCAATGTGTCTAAAGTGCACCATCTACTGCGGAAACACGGGCATTGCAGGAAAAAGGCAAAACAAATGCGGTTTAATGAAAACATAATTTAATAATATAATTTGGACAAGTTCGGCAGGCCAGATTAAAATGCCTAACGGGCTGTATACGGCCTGGGGGACGTAGTTTGCCCATGTCTGGTCTAGACCTTGGTATTATTATTATTATTATAGTGGAATTATAGAGGAAAAACTCTTTAATATATAATCGAGCCTTGTCATTAAGGGCTTTGTATGTTAGGAGAAGGATTTTAAATTCTATTTTGGATTTTACAGGGAGCTAGTGGGAGAGATATAGTCTCTCTTGCTAGTTCTTGTCAGTACTCTGGCTTTTTGTGGAATTACTGGGACATCCTGATAGTAAAGAGTTACAGTAGTCCAGCATGGTAGTAACTAATGCATGGACCAGTTTTTCAGCATCACTCTGAGACAAGATGTTCCTGACTTACCTGATATTACAACGCTGAAAGAAAGTAGTTCTAGAGACTTGGTTTATGTGTGATTTAAAGGACATATCCTGATTAAAAACAACTCCAAGGTTCCTTACAGCAGGAGTGGAGGCCAGAGCTATGTCATCTAGAGTAACTATATGGTTAGATAGCAGATTTTCAGGTCCAAGTACAATAACTTTGGTTTTGTCAGAGTTTAGAAGTAAGAAATTACAAGTCATCCAGGCCTTTATGTTTTTAAGATATGTTTGAAGTTTGACCGACTGACCTGATTCATCTGGCTTCATAGATAAATATAACTGAATATCATCTGTGTAGCAATAGAAATTTATGTTGTGTTTCCTGATAATATTGCCTAAAGGGAGCAGATATAAAGTGAAGAGACCTGGACCTAACGCAGAGCCCTGTGGAACACCGTGACTAACTTAAATCCCCTTGTCCATCCATCCATCCATTTTCTTCCACTTATCCGGGACCGGGTCGCGGGGGCAGCAGTCTAAGCAAAGATGCCCAGACTTCCCTCTCTCCAGACACTTCCTCCAGCTCCTCCGGGGGAATGCC